CTGCTGGCGCTGTGCGCGGCGGCGCTGCCCGCCCGCGGCCAGCCGCCCGCGCCGCAGTACAACGGCGAGCGCGGCATCTCCATCCCGGACCACGGCTACTGCCAGCCCATCTCCATCCCGCTCTGCACCGACATCGCCTACAACCAGACCATCATGCCCAACCTGCTGGGCCACACGAACCAGGAGGACGCGGGGCTCGAGGTGCACCAGTTCTACCCGCTGGTGAAGGTGCAGTGCTCGGCCGAGCTCAAGTTCTTCCTGTGCTCCATGTACGCGCCGGTGTGCACGGTGCTGGAGCAGGCGCTGCCGCCGTGCCGCTCGCTCTGCGAGCGCGCCCGCCAGGGCTGCGAGGCCCTCATGAACAAGTTCGGCTTCCAGTGGCCCGACACGCTGCGCTGCGAGAAGTTCCCCGTGCACGGCGCCGGCGAGCTGTGCGTGGGCCAGAACGCGTCCGAGCGCGGCACCCCGACCCCGGCGCTGCGCCCCGAGAGCTGGACCAGCAACCCGCAGCGCGGCGGCGGGGCGGGGGGCGCCGGGGCCGGCGAGCCCCGCGGCCGCTTCTCCTGCCCGCGCGCCCTCAAGGTGCCCTCCTACCTGAACTACCGCTTCCTGGGCGAGAAGGACTGCGGGGCGCCCTGCGAGCCCGGCCGCCTCTACGGCCTCATGTACTTYGGGCCCGAGGAGCTGCGCTTCTCCCGCACCTGGATCGGCATCTGGTCGGTGCTGTGCTGCGCCTCCACGCTCTTCACCGTGCTCACCTACCTGGTGGACATGAAGCGCTTCAGCTACCCCGAGCGGCCCATCATCTTCCTGTCGGGCTGCTACACGGCCGTGGCCGTGGCCTACATCGCCGGCTTCCTCCTGGAGGAGAGGGTGGTCTGCAACGAGCGCTTCGCCGAGGACGGCTCCCGCACCGTGGCGCAGGGCACCAAGCGGGAGGGCTGCACCATCCTCTTCATGATGCTCTACTTCTTCGGCATGGCCAGCTCCATCTGGTGGGTCATCCTCTCCCTCACCTGGTTCCTGGCGGCCGGCATGAAGTGGGGCCACGAGGCCATCGAGGCCAACTCGCAGTACTTCCACCTGGCCGCCTGGGCCGTGCCGGCCATCAAGACCATCACCATCCTGGCGCTGGGGCAGGTGGACGGGGACGTGCTCAGCGGGGTCTGCTTTGTGGGCATCAACAACGTGGACGCGCTGCGCGGCTTCGTGCTGGCCCCCTTGTTTGTCTACCTGTTCATCGGCACCTCCTTCCTGCTGGCCGGCTTTGTGTCCCTCTTCAGGATCCGGACCATCATGAAGCACGATGGCACCAAGACAGAAAAGCTGGAGAAGCTCATGGTGAGGATAGGCATCTTCAGCGTCCTCTACACGGTGCCGGCCACCATCGTCATTGCGTGCTATTTTTACGAGCAGGCTTTTCGGGAACAGTGGGAGCGGAGCTGGGTCACGCAGAGCTGTAAGAGCTATGCCATCCCCTGCCCCAGCAGCCACAGCAGCCATCACCCGCCCATGAGCCCCGACTTCACCGTCTTCATGATCAAGTATCTCATGACGTTGATCGTAGGCATCACCTCGGGCTTCTGGATCTGGTCGGGGAAAACGCTCAACTCCTGGAGGAAGTTTTACACCCGGCTGACCAACAGCAAGCAGGGGGAGACCACGGTGTGAGAGCCGGGCCCGGCAGGCGCCGCGGGGCCGGGAGAGCCGGGGCGGCCGCGGGGCCAGTGCCGGCCTTGCGCCCGTCCCGCATCGTCCTCACGGCCATCCCGCATCGCCCTTGCGCCCATCCCGCCTCGGCAAACTTTCCGGACTCCTTGTCCCTTCTCCTGGCTGTGGGGAGCAGAGAGGAGGAAAAAAAAAAAAAAAAAGAGTCAGGTGGGAAAGTCCGGAGCTTGGGACAGACTTGTTGTTTTCCTCGCGCTGTCTCTCTGTCTCTCGCTCTCTCTCTCGCTGTCTCCTGTTGGAACTGAACGTACTGTAAGGTTGGGGGAGAGGGATGTAAATAGCCTCTGTAAGATTTTGTAAGTATATTTGTATTTAAATCACAGAAAAACTCACTTTTTTAATTATTTAGGACATTTTTAATCCATTTGCAAATTTCACTTTCCCCCTCCTGCCCCCCCTTATTTTTTTTTTAAATGGCATTGGATTTTTATTTCGTAGGGCAGGATGGGGAAAAGAGAAAAATGCCAGTACAAGGAAGCAAACCAACCCCTTTCTTCTCCCCYACACAGGTTTTGTAATGGCTTTGCTTGGAGTTTCAGTTGCATGAACAGCAGGGCCCGGACTGAGGCTGCTGTGACGGCCTAGGGCGCCTCCTGCCACAGGCCGGGTCCTGATCCCAGCCTGCCAGAGGTATGTGGAGGTGGGGATGGGGAGGAGCGCGGCTCCCGGGCCCGCTGCCGGCCAGGACGGCGCTGCGGGATGGCGAGGAGGCCTCCGGGCCCGTGAGCCCGCTCGGAGCCGGAGCCCCGGCCTTGCAGGGCTGCCGCGCGGTCCTGCCTGGTTAGGCCCGGCCTTGCAGGGCTGCCGAGCACCCTTGGAGCCTGCCAGGGCACTGGCCGCCCGCCGCCCGCTCCGGCTTTTTACATTTATTGAAACACACCCCTTGGTCCTGGAAGAGTTGGCCTTTTGTGTTTCGTTGTTGTGCTGGGGCCAGGAGTTGAGGTTTAGCACCATCTGCCCCCGTGGCCTATCTTAAGAGGTAAATGGGGACTCACAAATACCAAACTTCCTTTTTTTTTTTTTTTTTTTTTAAGCCCATAACAAACTTTTCCAGTTGTAAGAACTCCTTTCTTTTTCCTCTTAGAAATGGGATTACTGGCCAGCTCCATCACAAGACGCATAGATGGGGAGGAAAATTAAGATTTAAGCATAGAAAGCTGAGTTGGGAGTGTGCAGTCAGTTTTGGCTGTGCCCTTTCTTCCTGGGCGGCTTGCGTGTGGTTTATGTTCTCCTTCTGTTGCTGAGAGCTACCTGGATGGCTTTGTTGAATGCTTAGATTAACGGAGGGCTCAGTATAAACAGGATCAGAAGGAAACAAAGCATTCGGATTATTTTGTTAATTAAATCCATAAGCTGGCTCTTCGTTTTGGAAACATTCAAATCATTGCCATTGCCCTGAATTTTAGTTCATTAACGTTTAATTTGTTACACATTATGAGAGTGTGATGATTTCTGCCAGTAGCAAAAAAAAAAAAAAAAAACAATGAGAAAAGACAGAATACGAGTGTGATTAAGCACTGTGGTGGTGTGTGAGATCTTGAGGAGCCTCTGCTATCTTTTTTTTTAATTTCTTTTAGTATGGTAATAAACATTGCATACTACAAAGATAAGATATCCTGTGTGCAGTATATCTACTACCTTGTATGCTCCTGGGTGTGTGGGGTTGTGCTTCTTATTCCAGAAGGTTAAAAATGAAATGTAACTTTCAAAAGATGCATTTGAATATTTAGTCCTCTGTATGAAAAAYGGCAGAATGCTTCTCTCCTGTTGTATGTTTTATACTTTTTTTTTATATAACAAATGCCTGTATGTAGGTTCATAAACATTATCTATGACTACCATACCCTGAAATGCAAAATTATTTGAATTTGGTATGCATTTATTTCTGTTCATTATCACAAGATCATCTATATTTATAGAGGAATAGAAATTTATATATATTAAATACCATATTTTTAATTTCTCTGAAATAAATTGAGTTTTTGTACAAAACTATCTTGTCGTTTTACATATTCCTCAGACTAACTTAAATGCACGCTGTGTGAAAGCAGTGTATATACTACAAGATGTGTGGGATTCYTTTTTTCTTTTCTTATGTGGAGTTCACAGTAACAAGCTGGAATTCAGTGTAGGAATTCATTGTGCATTTTGGTTTTTATCTCTGGGCCAGTCTAGATTAATCCTTCAAAAGAAGTAATGTAAACTGTTCAAGATCTCTGACAGGGTAGGTTGGTGGTGTGAAATCCAAGAAGAGATCTGCTATATGGCAGGAGAAGAAAGAAGCTCACCARTTCTTTTGCTTTTTTCTCTTTTTCTTTTTTTCTTTTTTTTCTTTTTTTTTTTTTTTTGTTAAAAGAAAAGGGTTCTCCCAACTTAGCCTTTCTTCTCTCCTATTAAAATAAAATAAAAAAGATTTTCTCACTGCTCAAAATGACACTCAGATTGTGTTACGATATTGTCAGAATATTTTAACGATTAAAACAGTTTTGTTTTCCTCAGTTTTGAATATTTGGCTAATTGAGAGTTAAACRTGTTCCTGGAAGTATTCTGGATTTATGAAAACTACATATATTCTTAAACCTTTCACTAAAACCCTGCTTTTTATTTTTTTTAATTTTTTTTCCCTCTCCTTTAATTCATTGTTTAAAGTGCCATTCTGTGAGCATGSTTTCTGTTCAGAAAGAATGAGACCTTGATTTCTGGTTTCCGGTCTGGAAGGCTATAGCACAGCATTTCATTCTGTAGATCTATAGAAAGTTGTAAATGATTTTGGCTACTTTACTTGTTTCACATTTTGATACATAAACTGTCAGAGAGAAGTTTAAGAAAAAGAACTGCTCTCCTGAGCTGAAAACTTTTTTTCATTATTATTTTTTTTTCCCCCATAGACTCTTGCTCTTGCTTTCTCAGATGTTTTCCACATTTTTTTTCTAAGCTTTTTTCCTTCAGTATTTTAGTGTTTGAAATTGTGCTYGTCATTATTCAGCTCTAGTGACTGAACGACTCAGTTTTATCTGCAATGGAATTCTTTCTGGTCAATGTTTTCGGGCCATTTTTACTGATCTGTTTTATTGCAGCTGAATGTGTGTGATTTATTTATACGGGAGAGCACATTAATTTGTAACAGAGACTTTGTGGTAGGGATGGGAGGACTTTTTTTTTTAATTATTTTTCAAAAATCCTCTGCTGCAATTGTAGTTCCTAAAAGAAGCAGAACATTGCTGGTATTTGCAGTTGGTGATTTGCACCAAATATGGTGCTTTTCAATTCTTAGTGATTTTTCACAGACTGTAGAACTTACGTGCCATATTCAGCTTTGATTATTTTAACAAATATAGTGGAATGCACAGCACAAGAATTTCAAAATCATTTAAATGACCCATTTAAAAGAGCAAGTCCCCTCCTTAATTTCCATTCTTTGTTGCTGCTTTTTTTTTTTTTTAGATTTGCTAGTATTTGTGAACTCCTCAGTGCAGTAATTTGCAAAGGTCACAGCCATTATTGCTTTCTATATGTGACTTGCCTACTTTTTCTTACACTTCAATTTGTCAACACGTCATGAAATTTGAGACTGACTTATATGATAAAAAGGTGTCTTTTGCACGGATGTACTGCAATTATGACTACTGCTTTACTTGACTGTAAAGTCTTATTTACTGCTCAATTGCTCTAGGGAATTTAAATAGGATTATTTATTTATTTATTTATTTATTACAGCACAATCTGTGTAATTAATATACCTTATCTACCAGAGGAGCTACTGCTGTGCAACACCAGTGTGCCCAACGCTTCTCTTGCATGATAATGTAAGAACAAAAACTTTGCTATGGCAAAGTTTGCTGCGCCTAGAAGTGCTTGTAAAGACATTCAACAGCTTCGCTTTTTCTGGTGCTGTGTATTTATGGCTTAAAATGAAGGGGACTTAGAATTAGCAGTTTTTCCTGTGTGYATTTTGCTAAAGAGGGCTGCAGCCTGGGGAAGGGGGGATGCCGAGTCACAGCTCATCCTTCACTAGCTGTAATGCTCTTTAATGTAGTGGCAAATTTGTGGTATTGGAATGAAATGATATGCTGTTTCCATAACAAATCCTATTGGGAAGGGGGAGGTTTCTGATTTGTTCAAAGCGTTATGCCCCAAATATCCAGTGTCTGAATATACCTTAAGAAGTGCCTCCCCCTCTCTTTTTTTGTTAGTAGGATTGAAAGGCTGTKTTCTGGTGGGCCGGATTTCTGCCCCGTGGGCTGCACACTCCCTTCTGGTGCCAACTCAGTACTGGTGGGGCACAARTGCAATTACAGATGGGGCTGAAGATTCGTTTCATTTAAATGGACAAATATTTGCAATTCTCATACTGTTCAAAGGGCTGATAATTAGACATGATAATTAGGCATGAAAAGAGGTTGCTGTACGTGCACAGGATAARTGTTTTTGAAAATGGCTTATGGACTGCTATCTCATCGGTCTTCTGTTGACAGTCACAAGAGACAACTTCCAGACAACCCCACTGATCCCTCTGGAAAAGTGTGGGCATAGCAGCTGGCTAGAGAAAGCAGTCATGGGTTTTTTTGGTGACCTGGCTAGTTTCTGTGACCATTTTTGATGGTACTTCCATGTGGTGACATAACTCATAACTCCTCCATCCTGGTGCTGCATGGCCTCAGCTGTAGCTTCAGCTGGCAGAAGTTCTCATGACAGCTGAAGAGACAAGTAAGCAGTTAATACTTGCCCATGAAAATGAGGAAACTGAGGTAAGGCTTCATTTTCATCTGTAATTGACCCTCTAGTGCTTAAACATGGAAATTACATTTTATTTGGTAGATATTTGCCATGACTGTGTTTACAAGACTTGCCAAGTCATACTGTGTGAAATCATACACAAGGTCATACTCTGTAAAATCAAATCTAAATATTAGCCCCTCTTTGAGACTCTTTGTTAAATTTGTACTTGCACTTTTTGGACMAGAGTGTCATT